CAATGTCTGTGGTTATTGCTCAGGCTTTGATATAGTATTTCTATAGCAGTTCGTTAATCTTTTGAAATGCGAGATTAAACCCAAGATCATAATCTTACCTTCCAAATATTAAAGAACTGCTACAGAGGGACTGAATCAAAGCCTCACCAATAACGTTTTGACCGCTTAAGTTATCCAGACTTAAGATTCTGGTTCACTTGAGCCGGTCAAAAGTGTCGATACATATATTCTCGATTAAAACTTGTCACAGATGTTTCTTCGATCATTACTTTTGGCTGTAACTATGCATTTCGATCGAACAAACTTCGACCTCGAGACATCTTGTGGCCTGATATTTCATCGAGATACCACAAAATACGTCACACGGACCGAAAGTTTTACCTCAAATTGTGTCTAGGGATCAGCAATTATATGAGCCATGACTTTGTACGGGTAAGTGCTACACGATCGAGTTTGGATTTTACGATTAGCAAAGTGGTGCTGGCTCATACCCACTGAGGATGTGACGCTTCCATGTGTGTATTTGCTTAGCTCGAATGAAACTCTTGTGTGCTTGCAAATCGACCAACTGGGACGTATGAGCATGTTCCTTCCGACAAAATAGCATCGTTTGCACGACCTCATGACTCAAGACGCAACACAAACAGTGCAGCAAGTTCGTTTCGTTCGGAGCTGAGGTGATTGGCGTTGTTTCGATGACACAATTGCAACGAGCAATCAAGTGTCAACCTGGCGCTCGAGAGGAGGTCGTCACGTGTACCACTTCGTTATGTGTCGTTTTCGGATTTGCTGGCTGCCTTTCGACATTGGCAGTCGACATCGTGGCCACACGTTCGAAGAACAAAATGGCGTTCATGCGCCGTTTCCGCCGTTTACTTGGATTCTTCAGAGCTACTTCAGCTCGACTTTCCTGGCAAGACAAACACTGTCGGCCCGCTCGTTCGCAAGATAGTCGAGTACAGCGTTATTGGTACACTCCGAAACCAGAATATACTTCGGCCAGGCATTCGCCGGTACGTGGTGACTTCGCCTACACTTTACGCGATGATGTTCATTTGCTGGAGCAGACTGAGCCCACTTACGACAGTCATGACGACTGCCATTATCACGGCGATGACCTGGCTGGATCGATGGTGCTTACCGCCTAGTCGGACGACAAAAAACGCTGGCAGCACGAAGCAGATCATCGGGTTCGTTGTAGCACCAAGCACGCCAAGAACGGACGCTATGTCGCCAGAGAACAGAGCCACTAGAAGCGTGGCAAGTACTAGAAACAGTGAGAGACCGACGTGGCGCAGTAAGTCGAGTCGGCGGTTTGCCAATAAAGCCTCGCGGATGTTGTCGCGCAGTGTGTGGATGAACAACGGCACCGTGAGAATGAGCGCGATACTGAAGCCAATACACCCAGTGATCACAGCGCCGTCGCCGCGGTAGTCGTTTCGTAGGAAATTGGACCTCGTGGCCGTGCCAAACGTGAGCACCACAAAGAAGCCACACAGTGCATACACCGTCGTCGCGATTCCAATACTGCGGTTCATGACCTTGTACATCCTTTTGCTGGACCGACGCTTCAGTACCAAGTAGATAGGCAGTACGTTTGGATGGCAAGTGAACGAAAACACGATGAGCGGAATCGCACGCAGCAAGTGGCTAAGACGCCAGTCGAAAAGCGCCAAGTGCGTCAGCTGGTATGCCATTGTCGGAGCCACTCCTTCGTGCACAAACTGCAAGTACTTGACCACAATCACTAGCGCCATGAACACGATACAAACGATCGAAAACAACGACGAAAATCGCAACGACTCCAGACTGCGTAAAAGCGATAGCGGCAGGACGAGAAAACACGTGAGCATGACGATCAATGCCTGTCGATCCAGAAAGATACTCGAGCTCGTGTGGCCCAAGACAGCTCGCAGTGCAAGCTGAATGAGCTCTGCACTGCCCACGAGGTAGCCGACCGACGTTCCAAACAAGTTCATGCACACAAGCAGCTGTGTACATGCCGCCAGCCTGCGCCCTCCCGTAGCCGACGCCAAGTCCATGTACGACCGTGCTTGCCCCAAGTTCGAACACACCAGTAGCGTCCGCAGCGTAAAGTTGGTCGCGCTTGCGCCCAATAGAATCAGAGCAATGCCCAGCACAAGTCCTGTCTGCTGCACTGCAAAGGGGAGTGCCAAGACACCGGCCCCTACGATCGCGACGGTCATCGTGAACATGGAGCCTTTCACTGGGTCCAACAGCACGTCAAAAGAGCGCCGTCAACACAGCGTCCAACACCACACGTCGACACCTCTACACACAGTTAAGCCGAGTCGACAAGTGACCAGTACCTGATCCTGGCCGGACCTTCTCCACAAAGTACGTTTGGAACAAGCCGCGGCGCTTGTCACGTCGCTGCTGTCGCCCCGCGTCGCCCTCGAACACGAGCGTCTCACGATCCGAGACGAGCTCAAAGTCACTGGAGAGGGCGGCCGTGGACGTGGACGAGCTCGTCTCGGCCGTGGCGCCCAGCAAGCGCTCCGTCATGTCGTGACTGTCGGCCTCGTCGAGTGTCATCATCGCTATGGTATGTTCCAAAACTGACTCGCGGGCCAAAAGCGGACAGTGTGATGATGTCAACGTATGGATCGTTTTTTCTGTGCAAAGGTGTAAAATACAGAATAGCGGCATCGATGGTCGTACAAGTATTGCCGTCGAGGGGGTGTACGACGGGCGAACCGTTGTGGCTTTCGAGACTTGGTTGAGTCAGGATGTACCCAAACAGTTTGTTGTCGAACCAAACGAAAATGTGATGCTTTTCGTGTGGCAGCTTTCACTTGCTCTCTTTCCAAGAGGCACAATGCAGTGGAAGTGCGAGAGGATTTGCAGTGCGATCATGTGCGAGTTGCACAAGTATTGACAATGGATCCGAAGACGACGAGCGTCTGGATGACAGTATTGCGTACCTTTGCATCCGATCCAGAGTGTATCCATAACCGGTGTGGCAGTTGTGTCATTGTTTGACAATTGGACTTCACAGCGTTTTTCTACTGCTCGAACAAAGCAAAAAAGAACGCAGTGTGCGTCAAGAGGGACATTCATCAAGCAGCGCTCTGGCGCGGGTTCGATGCAAACACATTATTCACTATCAAGAGACCGTGCAGTACACGTCCGTCGGTCTGTGCTACAGTTGAGCGTGAACACAAGGTGTGCTGTGTTTTCATGCACCTGCTGTGTCCGATTCCTCCGCTTCAGACTGCTCAAAAGCAGCAATCTCTTCGATCAGCTCATGCACGGTAGAGCGCAAGATAACACGCACACCTCTCGTCAGTGCCAACTTCGCCTCGCGGTCGCGCAGCTTTACGTTAAAGCCAAATATGGGGCACTCGCCATTGATAGCCGTGTCGATGTCCTTCACCGAGATATTGCCAATGCCCAGTCGCACAGTCTACCGACACAACGTACAAGCAATTAGCCAGTGAAGAACCATCATCTGCACTTCTTGCTGATGCTGTGTTACCCTACCGATATGCCGGGCATCGCATCCACCGTGTCTTGGATGCTCGTTAGCGACCCCGCACCATCAGCTTTCACAATGATCGACTTCGTTGCGATCAACTCGTTTTCGTCAATAATGTCGTCTTCGGCTTGCTCGCTACTTCCTTCAGCACGCAGCACGTCTGGGTTCTCCTGTTCGGCATCCGTAGACCTATACTCAGCATTAGCCTCTGCGTGTGCACCACCATCGTAGGGTAGCAGGCAGTCACGAAACTCCAGGGCAAGTTCCCTAGCACAGCAATAACAATACAGCCGTTGTTAGAATCAGCAAGCACCTCATCATCTTTTGCTTTCATCGTATACCTTTGTTCGAGCACCTGCTTTGCACGCGCTTCAGGAAGCACAAAGAAGCCGTGTTCATTTGGTGCATCGACGTTCTTCGACTTGTTCGAATACGTGATATCCACAACTGTTCCGGGCAACACGCGCTTGACGTCGCGGCCTTCGGCGTCGTGCATGCTACGGACCACGCCATGAATCATGCCAGCTACGAAATGCTGCTTGGCGACTAACTCCCCATTCTTAATCAGCACACGTAGTACTGTTCCACGGCCTTTCAGCGCCACACTTTCCAGCACAAGTCCCTCGGCGTGCGCTTGAGACCCGACTAGTGCATCCAGCTTGCGGTTATCTGCCAGTTCACTCACTAGTCCCTGAACTGTGTGCCGCAAGTCGTCTAGTCCAACCCCTGTCTTACCTGATATCATCAGCACGGGAGATTCCTTCAGGGCGACAAACGAGCGCAGTTCCTCCACAATATCAGCAACTCGCTTGTCACCGTCTTCGCCCAACAAGTCGACTTTGTTGATGCAAACCACCACCGGCAGTCGACTTTCCTCGATCGCACCGATCGATTCCTCCGTCTGCAGCAGCACGCCTTCATCTGCCGCAACGATCAGCAGCGCAGCATCTGCCACTTGCGCTGCGCTCGAGCGCATCCGGAAAAAGTGGAAATGGCCAGGTGTATCCAAGAACGTCGCCTTCATATCGTCCGACACTGTCGCTTCACATACATTGATCTTCTGCGTAATTCCCTGCTTCTCGAATGGTGCAATCTGCTTCCTACTTGTCTTCATATGGCTCCGAAGAGTGTCCATCAACGTCGTCTTGCCGTGGTCCACGTGGCCCATGACGGCAATGACTGGCTGTCGACGACCCAAACGCATGTCCTCGTGACAAGACGACAGCACGTCCCGCAGCTCCGGCTCCACGTCATCGTACGCTACTTGCACGCTAAACTGCTCCGCGACCTCCTGAGCCACTCGGAAGGGCAGCACGATCTGCTTCACGCCTTTAAACTCAGCTGGCGGGTGGTTCTTCGTCTTGAGATGGAATCGACGGTTCGACTTGGTCACTGTATGCTTCAGTACATTGTCCAGCGGCTGGCGCAACGCCTTTGCCAAGTCCCGTACGCGAATGAAAGCCGGAATGACCGGCGGCTGGGCCCGCGCTTCCAGCACGCGTTGACGCTGGTCCAGGCGAGCTCGATCTCGAGCCTGTACCTGCGCTTGCATCTTCTCTATCCTCTTCATGTGGTCTCTGTGACGCTGGGGACCGCCACGCGCAGTGCGTAGACAGCGAGCGCCATGCGGGAGCGACGCGGTCACGTGCTGGCACACCCGCTGCATCGAGTCCCTCGCGTTTCGCTGTACAGATAACGATCTGATTGGTCGAAATGTAGGCTCCGCATGGACGTCAAAACGTGACGTCGCCGTCGTCACGCGCGACGACGACGTCATTCAAACGAGGGAAGCTCAAAAGCGACGCACTGACGTCGACCTCGTCGGCCAAAGGTCGTCGTCGTCGTCGCGCAAGGGACGCGATGCTGGACCCGCGCGAGACCTTCTCGGGCATCGCGGGCGCGTTCTGCTGTGTGTACGCAGGTCTTCCGTTCGAGGTCGTGAAGGTGCGGCTGCAGACGCAAGGCACTACGAACGCGTACAAGGGCGTAGCCGACGCTTTCCGCCGCATCGCCACGGAGGAGGGCGTCGCCGCGCTCTGGAAAGGCGCAGTACCGGCGCTATCGAGTGCAATCGTTGAGAACGCAGTGCTCTTTAGTGCCAATGGCGTCGCGAGACGAGCAGTTGTGGCGTTGCATGCGACACCGCGCGGAGGACGTGAGCGTGCGGGCGACGAGGACGAGTACGAGCTGACGACACTGGACGAGGCCTACATGGGGGCGTTTGCTGGCTGCTTCTCTGCTACGGTAGTTGCATTTATTTTGTAGTCGTTATGGGACTGCGTGCTGTGTCGTATCGGCTGACCAATGAATGGGCTGCTGTCGTGTGGGGGGCGACAGGCGATTACAGTGCCCGAGAACATCAAGTGCAAGCTGCAGTTCCAACGTGGACACGTGGGTGTCGGACGTACGTGTTCGTTGCAATCGAGTCATTGAATAGAAACGGAGTGGGTGAGTTGCTCCAGCATATTTTTGCATGTTAATGTGGGTGTGGGTACCATTTGTTCGTACGTTTGTTTGTTTTCAGATTACCATGGACCTTGGGACTGTCTCGTGAAAGTGGGCAAGACAGAAGGCATTCGCGGACTCTTTCGAGGCTACTCGTCCCTATTGCTGCGTGACGTGCCGTTCAGCTTTATTTTCTTTGGATCGTACCAAGCTTTTACGTCTGGAGCAGTTCAGCTGCTGAGTAAAGAGTCGAAGAACGACCTGAACGCCGTCGCTATTCTTGCTAGTGGTGGCCTCGCTGGCGCTTCCAGCTGGAGCGTCGTGTTTCCCGTGGACATGCTAAAGTCACGAATGCAGACCGCCAGCGCGACACATCCGCTTTCGCTGCGAAGCGCCTTCCGTGCAATTTACTCGGAATTTGGCATCCACGGATTCTACCGCGGCTGGTCGGCCGCCGTATTGCGTTCGTTCCCGGCCAACGGGTCGCTTTTTGTCGGTGTGGAAATGACACACCGCCTGTTTCGTTGGTTTGACGCGAAGCAAAGCCAAGTGTAACTAAAATGCAGCGAGCTGTCGACGTGGAGAGGGAGGGAAAGGCGGCAACATCGAAGTAGCCAGGCGGGTAGCGCTAGAATAGCTACGCCACTGGCCTAACTTCGATCCTCAATACACCTTGCGACGATGGCGCGATGTCTGCGTTCTTACCGGGCAGGTGGACCCCGCGCTTGATGCGAAGATGCGAGCTTGTTTGATCAAGCAGAGTCTCGACCGTTTGACTCTGCAGTGATCTGAGTCCTTCTTCCTGCATGGCAAGAGCAGCGACATTGTACACTGGAGATAACAAGGGTCGTCAGAGGCTATACACCGTCATGAAGGCATCGTCCAAATGAAGCTTGACCAAAGGTCTGAGGATCGAGCAAGTTATTGCAAACTGCGCTGCATTGCCCAAGTGCCGTTGAGAACGTGCCCCCCGAGCCGGATGAAAAATCAAGCAGCATGTTGCGTCGGCGCCAAATAGAAGAGAATGTGTCGGTGAAGTGCGCTGCCATCACTGCGATGGGAGGTCAAGTTGCAGTGCCAAGAGGTGCAAGTGATCGCTCTTCCCGTAAACCCTCGCATAGCTGCCGAAAGCGCTTCTATCGAGAAGAAAGTCTACGGAAACGGACATCGACGTATCCTCATCCACGCGTCGAAAGTGTCGTGCAAGCGAACCTCATGGTCGTGGGATAAGCTGGGATCTCTTGCCGCATACGCTGAAAAGTTCCGACAATTTCCGCTCGATTCCGAGCGCTGACGGCATGCGATAGATGGGTGAAGACCTGCATGAGCACAAGTAGAACATCAGACACCTCACTTTCCGATCGTCCACGCAAGCGATACGAACGAACAAGCTCCAGACTCCCAGCACTCGCTTAACGACACAAGATGGTTCACCTATCGGCGCTGATGCTTTTGACACTTGTTGGAAGCGGCATTGGTCTCGCGGATGCAAAACCTTGCACCACGAGAGAGCTCAGCGTCTTCAACGAGGTGTCTGGTCAAGTCAACAAGTGCATGCAAGACAGCAAGCTGAACTTCCAGATCCCTCCACGTTTGAGTCTCCTAAAGTCTCAACAGTCAGCGTTGTGCAAGTCGGAAGCCTGCAAGGACATGATCGGTGCCATGGACGACCTGGATATCCCAACCTGCGAGGCTGTCTTTGACCAGAAGAACATGACGCTGCAATCGAGCCTCGACAAGTTCGTGTCGTCGTGTGACACGGCTACGCCGGCTCCATCTCCGATCAAGCGGCGTAAATCGCTCGAGTCGTCGTCGTCTGATGGCTCGGACACGGGTTCAAAGAAACGCCGCGACATGAACCCGGCGACTGCAGTTGCGTTCGGAATGCCGCAGCAGCTGCTTGTGCTTTTGGTTGCGGGCATTTTATCGCTGGGACTTGTGCTGCCATGAGAAGCGCAAGCAGTGCGGTAGCCGATGTTGAGGACTTGACTTTCCTTTCAATCACATCAACTAGTGGACAGCACTTGAGCCCACCAAGCAGCACCTCCGTTCTCAACAGCTAACTCCACAATACACTTGATGCTTGCCTTTTCGACGAACTTCTGCTTTCACATAGTCTGCATGTGCTTGTCGGTCCTCTTCGTTGACCTACACCGAAGAGAGCCGCCAAGTTGCCACAATTCATAGCGTTCAATGCAATTTCATCCAGTTCCTTGATCGAGTTACGGACGTCAGCTATGCAGTCTCCGTTGCGCTCTACCTGCAGGGCAAACTCACTACAAACGACCACCTACTACTTACTTGTCCTTCGTCGCCCTAGCCAATACGGCGCTGTGCTGGCCGCCAGCTTCGATCTGAAAAATCTTTGCCTCGCCAAACTTCTTGCCCTTGTCAGATGTTGCCGTCGACCAGTCCAGCTGACGCGGCTTGTTCTCATCCCGCTCTTTTCCATTGCCTAGCGCCAGCATATCACCGTACCCCCAAGAGAAGATCGCGTCGCTTTCCGTCAGTGCAAGCGCATGATTGGATCCTGTAGCGATCATACGAACAGCACTTGAGCCACCGCTTTTGGGGGTAGGAATCGTCACTTTTTGCGGCCGGTCTTTGTACGCGCCAGTAACACACGTCTCAAGCACACCGAGCTGGCCTGAGTCTGCACGACCAAATGTGTATACGTCGCCGTCAAGAGTGAGGACGACCGAGTGATGGGCCCCTCCATCCACAAACGTGACGTTCTCGGAGCTGAGATCTTCAACTAGTTGCAGCTCGGTGCAGTTTTCAGTGTGGCCGATTCCTAGCTGACCGTAGTTGTTGAGTCCACACGTGTAGAGATGTCCTGGTGAGGCCAAAGCAAAAATACTATGGTACGAACCGCAGCCAATGTCCTTGACGGGAGGAAGCGGGTTCTTTTCGAGCATCACACGCGCTGGCTGCAGGTGTGTCGAGTACACCATATCGACTCTGTACTCTCCCTTTGAGTCCTTCATCTCTGCGTCGACTTCACGACCAAGCTCGCCAATTTCCCCCAGCCCCCATGAGAACACAAGCCCGTTATTCGTCCGCACGAGGTTAAACGAACTACCACACCGCACGTCCACGACGTTGTCCAACGATTTGATCAAATACGGTCGGGGCTGTTTCTGCTTAAACGCCGCCTCAGCCGACGGTGCGTCGCACCACTGCTTGCCTTCCTTGTCGCGGTAGCAGCCCCACGTGTACACCTCACCGGCGAGCGTCACAACAGACGTGTGGCAATCTCCGCCAACAATTTGCAAGGCGACTGCCTCTTGCGGTCCGAATCCATCCACCTTGGCAGGAACGTTCTCGTCTCCATCTCGACCTATTGCTCCATCGTCGTTGCATCCCCACGTATAGACTTCGCCAGCCGCTGTAATGGCCGCCGAGTGCAGGCCACCGCAGGCCACACGGACGATCTCGAGCTTGCTCAACGAGCGCACGACGCGTGGAAAAGGAGCCATGAGGTCTTCGTCGGCGACACCGTGACCCAATTGACCACAGTCGCCACTGCCAAACGTCAAGACGTGGCCTGAGTGGCCGCCAAATAGATCGTCCAGCACCTGCGCATAGCGCAGATACTCCTTCATACTCTCGACCCAGCTTTCTTCCATGTTCTTCGACCAACTGTCCTTGAGGTTGGCGACAAAGGCGCGATTCAAGGCCGTCAGCTGTCGGGCCGCTTCGTCTTTGTAGCGGGACTTGGGCGTGGCCGTCACGACCTTGCGGCGCTTGAGCACCTGATCAGGTGCGCGGGGTATCGGCGAGTTGGGTGCGCCATTGGGAGGCGACGGCGCGGCGCCAGGCGTCGCGTGCAGCTGCTCTTTGGCCGCGTCCGTGTCCGTGCGCGCGCTCGCGCTTCATGGCTATTGTCAAAGTGGGTGGACGGATGGGACGGATGGCGTTACAATCTGTCGCGCTCGCGGTCAAGCCTCGGTGGGGGAGTGACGTGGATAAATCGTTTCAACATCGGATGCCGAAACCCGAGCGTAGGTGTTTGTTGGGTTTTGGCTCAGAAAAGCTAGCGCTACGCAGGTGTCAAAACGCTGAAACGCGACAAAACCGTCCACGTCGACGTACAACGCGTTGAAACTCCGTGTTTCGAGGTGGAAATGGCTCCTTTGGCTGAAGTGAGAAGTAACGCACGACTGACGGCCAGAGGGGTAGTTGACCGAACGTAGAAAAAAAGAGCCAATCGTCGACCTGCAGGCGCAGGTGGTGGGTGGTACCAACCGAACACAAGAGCGCGTCCTGTGCCATTCGCTCCTGTCGTCGCTGATTCATTCCGCTGATCGTGTGGCAACGCAACGCGCCGTAGCAAACCGCTTGCGTTCGACCGACGACCAAAACGACATCTGCTCACCTCCCGACCGACCGACGTGGCTCGCAAAGCGAATCTCTGCCGTCACAATGTCGTTCAGGACGAGAGACGTGCACAGCCGATCCCGCAGTGCGCATGCCCCGTGACGACAAGTCAGAAGTCGCGTACCGCACGTCGATGTGGTACCGTGTCGGCGGACCACGTGACGTCGTGTCTTAGTCAGAGGATACGCTGAACGACTAACGCAGTGCATTTGTAGCAGTAGGACAAGTATCCGGTTGCAACACTGCAGCACATGTAGGCCCCTCCTTTGCCGCAATGGGCTCCGACAGTCAGTCGTGTAACTCGTCCGTCAACTCGTCCGTCAACTCGTCCGTCAACTCGTATACAAAAGGCCCGCGCGCGATTGCGCTCTCTCTCCTCGTTGCTCTCGTCAACGTGGAGACACACGAACGTCACGAGCTCGCAGAGCGGCCCGACGACACAGACGTCTGCAACGCGACGACAGCGTTTGGTTGGATTTTCAGCGAGCGCGCGAGCGAACGCGCGACTTGTTGGGCCAATCGAGCACCACGTGGTGCAGAAAGGCCAGGCGCTCGTGGCCGCGGCGTCGCGCAGGCGAGAGCGCGACCCACTGACATCTTACGCGTAGCAACACTTTTGTAGTCGCGTCGAGCGATTGCGACCGGTGATGGCTTGCAGGCGGTCGGGTCGGATCTTGCTTGACGAGAGGGGGCGAGTCCTATTGAGAGGTCGCCCAGCGCTCGCGCGATCCGGTTCAGGCCGCGACGATTCCAAGACAGAGGCGACAATCCATTTTATTCCACTTGGTGCGCGAGCGGATATTCCGGCGCAGTGACGACGGGCGGGCGCTCGGCTTTTTGCCAAATCACCAACGACCGCCCGCCCACCGGCTGTTTCCCCGCTTGAGCACACCACCGGACTTTGCACACACACACACACACACACACAGGAGACACCCCCACAACGAGATACTCCCACACAGTAATACCCACCCACCCATCCACCGACCCGTACATTCACGCAACCTACACACACAAACACACAGACACAGAGACAAAGAGCGCTCCTCGCACGCACACTCTCTTTTGCTCGGCCCCCGCCACGCCCGCCCAGCTACTGGATCGACCGCTTGCCCGACCGGCCACTTGCCTGTCTGTCTCCCCATGGAGCTCATGAGCGAGCTGAGCGCCTGCAGCATCCGCGTGATCGACTTGGACGACGGCTCCGTGCGCTCCATCTCGTGGGACCCGCAGGTGCCGGACCAGGTGTTTGAGAGCCTCGTGGAGTCGCAGCTGCGCGCGCAGTTTGGCGTGTCGGACGAAGCGTGGGTCGACCTCATTGACACGGCCAACTCGAGCCTCGTGCACATCACCAAGGACGTGCTGGGCGGCATCAAAGACTCGCTGTGCCTGTGCCTGTCGCCCAAGACTGAGGCCCTTGCGCCCATGAAGACGACGGAAGTGTTTGAAGTCGTGTTCCAAGACCGGTCGCTCGGCATGACGATCCGCGAGCACAACGAGAGCGTCATTGTCAACCACTTGAAGCGCAAGCCCGACGGTAGTCTCGGCGAAGCCGAAGCCTCGGGTCTCATCCAGTCGAACGACGTCATTTACAAGGTCAATGGCGCGCGCACGGTCGGGCGGAGCTACGACAACGTCGTGCAGATGCTGCAGACGCAGACGCGGCCGCTCCGGATCCAGTTTTTCCGCCCGTTTCGACGCGACGGCCTTTTTGCCGTGGAGTTTCGTGGCCCGAGTCTCAACATGACGATCACGACCGACGACGTGAACGTCATTGTCAAGGACTTGCCCATGGCCCATCCGAACATTGTCGGCTATGCGGAAGCACATGGGGTGCGCATCTTTGACATTATCCATGCCGTGGATGGAGAAGTGATCAATGGACTCGAGTACAACCGCGCAATCAGTTTGCTGAGTCGCGGAACGCGTCCCATGGTCGTGGTGTTTGCACGCTCGAAAGTCATGCCGCCCACGCCGGGACGATCGACGGGCGTCATGAGCAACCGCTTTTCGTTTGCATCTACGGTCGCGCCGTCGCCGCGTCCTAGTAGCATGGACAGTTTCGGCGCACGGCGTGGATCAGGCTGCTCGGCGTTGAGTGGAATGGACGGTGAGAATATGTTGGTGGAAGAAATGCTCGAGGTGTGTGAAGGATTGGGCACCGACGGCATGCTGAACGCAAAGGAGGTGGAGATGCTCAAGGATATGGTGCTCACCATGCGACCAGACGTGTGCACTGCGGTGAAGCAAAAGAACAACAACGCGATTGTGGCGATTGTGCGGTCGCCATTCATGCGGCTCTGGGATAGTCTGCTGAAGACACGAGAGAGCATTTTGCTGGCTGGACCCGTGTCGCTCAAGCGCAAAAAACGCTTCCACCTGCTGCTCACGGACCATGAACGACTTCTCTTTGTCAATAAAGACACTAACTTATTAGAAGACGAGATCATGTGCTCTCATATTGTCACCGTGAGCTCGCGCTCGAAGCACCAAGAGCTCACGATCTCCACGAGCAAGACGGACTACGTGCTCATCGACAACTTCATTGGGCCCATCATCTGGGTGCGCGCTATTCTGCCGTTCACGTGCACGCAGGGCATTCTCAAAGTGGCTAGCAGCAGGCGCTTCCTCGGCTCCAAGAAGCGGTATTTCGTGCTGCGCGGCAATCACCTCACGGGCTACAAGAAAGAGAGCATGATCCACCAGGTGGGTGCGAAGAGCAGCACAATTTCGCTCGCTGACGCCAAAATCGACATCACGGACCCGCGCAGCCTCACATTCATCATCGCCACACCTGAGTTCAGCCAAGCTGGCAAGAAGCTCATTCTAACCGCGACATCGACACGGGAATTCAACAAATGGGCGACGGCACTCCGATCGTTGCAGCCGTTGTCTCCTAGCACCGCCACTTCCGCCTAACGAGGCAAGTCGCTGAACTCCAGATCCAGCGCAATACTCAGCTCGGACAACACATACAGCTAAGATGTGGAATACTGTCTTTGCAGTGGCAGAACGGCAGGAAGTAGTACGATGCAGTGACCAAGGGAATGTATGCTGATCAAGGCGAAACCGTGTCGTGAAGTCAAATGAAGGATCAAGCTCGTGCATCTTGTGCTGTGCTATAACAACGCATGGGCAACGTGTATGGGCGGGACAATGCAAGACCAGTCACATGAAGATAAGGAAGCCAACGACGCCGTGTGTGGTAATCTAATTGAACAGATCTTTGTCTCTCACGTAAGCTTTGATCTCTGTCGCGAGCTCTTGGAACTCATCGGTCGATGTCAGGTACGCCCAGGTCTGGTAGAACTGCAGTTTCTTCTGCACGACTGCGAGTTTTCTTATCGCTGTCTTCTGCTCCTTTCTAGCGCGTTTGTCGAACCCATCGCTCTGCTCGAGCTCTTGTTTGTACTTTTCCAACAGCACGCGCATGTCGCTGAGGGCATCGAGCAGAAACACGTTGGAGCGTACAATTCGCTGCGTATCGTGGATAGCCAACGCATTCGCAGCACGGCCGCCATCAGACGTCTTTTCCAGACACACGAGGCAGACGTGCTCAAGCGACTCGTAACGAGCATCCGCACTCAAGACCTGGCACAAGTCCAGTAGCATCAGCGCTGCTTCTGCTGCATCTTGCTCGTAGTCGCCGTTGAAAGCACGCAGCACCAGTGTGTAGCCAAAGACCAGTTCGATCAAGTGCCAGCGTAGACACGGCGACGGCTTTCTTCCATCAGGCAGTAGCGCGTCGATACGCTGAGGCATCTTCCGCGCCTCTGTGGTTGTAAACACGCCCACAGGATACAACACCTCGAGTCTCACCGTCACGGCTTCCTCTTCTTCATTGTCCCGACTTCCTATCTCCTCCAATATCAACTCCTGTCGTCGAGTCAGCGTCTCCCTGCGGTATTGGTGCTCCGACAGCAGCCACCACGGCGACCAGAGCTCCACGAGCTTTCCCAGTCGTCCGTTTGCCACTTGGCCCAAAAACATCTTCTTCTCCTCGGGCGTCAAGCTCTCCAGTGTCAACTCCCCCGCCTTCTCCATCAGCATCAGCTCTTGCAGTCTGTCTACCAGCGCTTCTCCGCTGTCTTCTGTACACGTCAACTGCTGCTGCTGCTCTTCTTGGAACTCGCGAACACGCTCCAGCAGCTCCTGGACGCTCTTCTGTTGCTGCTGCTTTGTCTTCTCCTGGTCGCTATTGTCTCGTCCACTCTCCCTCAACTGCATCTCACTGCGTACGTGGCTCTCGAAGAACGGCTCTGTGCAGCTCTGGCCATGCGCGCGGTAGCAGTCCACACAGCAGTACGACATGTTGCAACGCGGACACGTGTATCGCGCCTCGCGCAACGTGCACACGTGACACACTCGCGCCAGCGACGCGTTCGTCAATGACGGACCCTCTGAGACGAGCAGCGGAGCAGCAGCAGCGCTGGAAGGCCTCAGTGTCGTCCGTGTAGAGCCCAGACGAAGGGGCACGTGCGTCATGGCCATCAAAGTGTCAACGGTCAATTGGTGGCGCACGACCCAAAAAGTGGACACACTTCTGTACCCATTTCGCTGCACGTTCTCTTTTTTTCCGATCGCTTGCTCTCGAAAATGTCTGACTTGCTGTATCGCTTGACTTGCGATCGTGGGAGATGAGCGCTGCAAATTCGGATATTCGGTTCTCTACGACTGTACTGCTGCTAAATGTCGAGTTCAGATCGTCTGTTAGAGCTACTTACCACTCGTCAGATGTCTGTTGTGCGGAAACCACCTCGGTCATCTACCATGACACGACCTTTCTCCTACCACGTTTCTCATTCTGCTGGCTCGATGCTCGAGACGTCATGGGGGACACTCTCGAAAGGCCACGTGATAACGGCTGTTGACCAAGTCCGGGGTTAGAACTTTGTGCGCACTGTTGGCCGGATGGTTGGGCTGCGCGTCGCTTCGCGCTTCATCTGCTTCAAAGGACAGAGGATGCATGGCTAGGAGGCCTGTTCCACTTAGGAAGTCCTAGCGTGCCATCTTGACGTGATCCCTGGCCGCTTCCGTGGGGATCGACTTGCTCTGCTCTTCGGGCCGAACCCATTGCACAATCTAGTGCAGACGTGCCCAGGCGCACCACGAGACGAAGAGTATCGTGGCCTGGTGCTTACTCTACATAAACGACCGGTGCTGGATCTCAACAGGTCATCACGTTCTTAGGAGAGTTCACTTCGTGGGAGTGGGTATCGCGCGCAGCGAACGAGTCGGCGCGAGGGGAGGCACTTCGTGAAGAGCAGGAATTAACGAAGGCACGGGGATGCCGATCTCTGTCGGCCTTCCCCGTGCCGCAGGATGCCGTAGGATTGCTTCCCTCTCGGGTCGCACGCTGCATTGCCTTCCGTAGCACGCGCAGCGGAGAAAAGCCCCCCCCCCCTTTCACCTTGGCCCCACTAAGGGGGACTTCCCGTCCAAGGTGAGGGGGCCAGATGACTGGCTCTTAGGAGGTCTTTGCCTCTGTCCGTTGTTGCTCGATGAGTCCAAATTGGGAAGTGAGGGCTACACTTGCAGATGGATACAATGATCATGGACTGCTGCGTGCTATGCTCGCGAGCTACAGCGAAATACGACTCTGCTCGTTTTCGAGTCATTTGTGCTACTTCTACAGCTGATCAAGGACGTTGCTGGATATCTGTCCTTTCAGAAACAGGTGGGCAACATGTTAATAAGAAAGCAAACCGCGGTTGTATTAGCCTACAAGCCGTCCAGAGCTGGAAACAGTCGGTTTCCGTATAGCTCCATCTCAATGTCGTTCTTTAAGCGAGCAACCAATTCCCGCGCCACCCATTTGTCGTTGTTCGTCAGTAGGCGAAGAGCATCAGCGTCAGTGAAGTCCTCGTGCCCCGGAACTTGTCGGTATATCTCGATATAGTACAGCCAGTCCGCGAGCTTTTCACAATAGTCGGACCATTCGTTGTCAGTCCACGAGGCACCAACCTCCAAACGTTTCGCTGATGAAATGGGCATCATTTGATACGCGTCTCGAGGGTTCAGCTTCGACGACGCCCACTTCTCCAAAATTGACAATGCGAAATTAACCCCGGATTTAGCAAACAAATTCCGGAGCATCGCATCAGCGCGACCTCTCATATCAGGGTCGGCTCGAAGCCACTCGAAGAATTTCGCATGTTCAGCGGCAGCATTTTTGCCATACACTCGATTGGTACTGGTGATGTATGGCCCCTTCGTGTACTCGAGCCACTTCGAATAAATTAGATTGAAATGGGCCTCCAGGTTCTCCAGAGCACCTTTCGACGTCGCAGGAGAAGCTGAGAGCTCTGCAGCAATTGCTTCGATGGCTTCTCCAAGAATATGGCTTCCTCTCATTTCTGTTATCGGCTGGGCGTCGTCCATCTCCGCCGCAGGAGCGTGCAAATGCCCCGGTACGGCAGTCGGCTTCACACGAGTGGGTACAATGGGCGAGTGGAGAGCCGCATCGCTGGTTTGATTGTGTTCCGTGGTCGTTGATCCAGCTGCAGCGGTCCACAGAGAGAGAATGAAGGCCGCGAAGGAGTGGCCAAGCAGACGCATAGCAGTGGTATTTAGTGGCTGGGCAAATTGCAAAGTGAGCGGGGCGGGTCGCAACGCCTCTTATCTGCCAGGTGTGACTTTCTAGCAATGATCAGCCTCGGAGATCCGGTGTGGAAGATCTGAGCGGAAAAGATGCGGTTCCTTGATTTGCTCAGACACTGCGTTGAAAAAAGGAAAACCGCAGGATTGTTGTAAGCTCAGAGGGAACTACTCGTACGATTAGCACCTCCGCTACTACGACGACCAGCAGCTTAACGAGCAGCAATCCCACCAGTGGTTGTCAGAACAGGGAGACAGCTGCTGTCTGTAGATGAGACACAGTTCGCAGAGCAGCTGCCAGCAGGTGAACGTCGGTCGTCGTCCAAATCGACGCTGTGCGCAGAGCTCTCGCACCAGACGTACCTCCGCTTCGAGTGCAGCCGCTAGCAACGCTCGTCGAGGAGAGGCAGTAGCAGGTGAGTTGGCTTTGGCTAACCGAACAGTCTACGTCTTTGCAGTACACTGGTTCATGACGCCCCTCGTGGATCGGCGGCACAGGAAGCTTCCTATCGGTCTCCTACCTCGTCAATTGAGTCCATTCGTCGACCACAATTTGCCCTCGTTGCCGTTGCACAGGCCCGATCAGCCGTCGTCTCTCCTTTCCATCATCCTTCTCTTCATCACATCATTGCCGCCAACGAGTTGGTGCAGCACCCGACAACCCACGGCAACACGGTGAGTGTTGCACCTCGCAACGCACGAGCTATCCCCAGCCGCCACCTTCCAACCATTCGATTTGGGTACGCGAATATCCAAAACTGGATCACGATCTCTCGACTGGATCACCGGTGTGTCAAAGCGCGAGCTCTAGGGCTTGCTCCTTTGTCTCATCATGCAAAACAGGCACAATCTGCAGAGACGCACAGACGTGAGCAGGAACGTGTTGTAGCTGGCTGCGTGGAGCAGATCCGATGACACGCCCACTGTGCTCAAGACATTATTGTGCCCATCCACAGCAATTGCAAGCTGATGAAGCTATTTCAGCCGGCCCACACAACGAAGGAGCATGTCATGAGAAGCAATCGCAGTGTCATGATCCGCGATGCACTATCGCAGATCCCGCAGTTTAGCTCGATAGAGTAATCAGCCACAACGTGCAACGCTGCGTTCGCGCCTCTTTGCATGACGCCGACTCGTACTGTTCGTACACTTCCCAATTGCCTCAATGGTAGCGTAAAGCCTGAGATCAAGCAGTTCCTTCAGTGAAGCACCAATGACCACCGAGATAAGGTGGCCGCGTGCAGAAGCTCAAGCGGCTTGCTGGTCGATTGGAAGGTACATCTACCAGCGACAGCAAAACGAGTAGGTTCGACACTTTGAGCACGCAGGTGGTCAGTGATACACATAGTGATACAAAATCTTGCGTTTGTCGATGGAAACATCTGCGTGCCTGTCCGCTTGTCTTGTCATGGCTGAAAAACGTCTCATTACAAGGCGTGGTAACGTTCGGGTGATCAGCTCAATGGAACAGCGATCGTGAGCTAGCATCCGGGCGTAGAATTATGCGAGATGGAAGCAACGAAGTCAAAGCACCATTGCGACTAGCTTCAAACCATTCGAACGGTTCTTGTCTGGGCCCAGTGTATCAGATGGTTGTGAGTCATTTGCTGCAGCGTTTATCTAGCGACATATCGCTGCCACCTTGCAAGTGATCCATCGATGTCCCTACCACTTTGCAGGAAGCGGTCCGAAAGAACGGCTACCAATGCAACTCATGTTGCGGTGCCGAAGCAACTGAGCGCTAAGGGACGTCACCGCACGTGATTTCTACCCATGACGACCATCGCAAACACCATTGAGCCGACAAAGCTCGAAACACGCGCGGCATGTGTGAGCCTGCTATCCGTTGGTCTTTGCAGGTTACATCCGAAGACACGAGTTGAGAACCAGTCGCCATTTTGTGTACCACCGTCGACCACCGTCGATCATGGTATCGTCAGCGCGCGGAAGCTGTGCGTACGATCACTTACGATCCTCACACATTCGAAGCGTAGACAATGCGCCGCGTAGGCATACGCGTATTTTGGCTCGGTGAGCTCCTGCCGAATGAACTGAGCATGCGGCACATCAAGCAGGTTTTGTTGCATTATATGCCGCGTTGGTCGATGGACCTCGAACCTTGCTTGCAGCTTGACGGGCAAAGCAGTATTTGTTAACAAAGTGCTGCATCTTTCCGTCGACTCGTTACTAACGTCTGAGTGCTGTAGTCTATGTCGCTATCTGTGACGGCCTGTTCACGCAAGTGCTAGAAAGGTTTCGTTTTGACCTTTGAGCTCAACGCTTTTTACCCTTGCCATGATTCCATTGAGAGCGTAACCAAATCCACCCATTTGGTACCATTCTATCAATATCCGTGCATCTCGCGCTGCTCTCCTCTAGCTCAATATCGATCCCGCCACGCTGTGCTTGGCTCGCCATCGTGTGCAAATTACCATCGGCACCACGCATAGACTGTTCGTCTACAGCTGACCGCAGTATGTACTAGCAACCATTCTCATTGCGCTCACACTCAGACAGTCGTACTGGCACTACCGGGAGGCTGCGCATAGTCCTTCTCATCTAGAAGCGTCGCACTAGTTCCACCAAATATCGTGGTCGATGCCGTGCTCCGGACGAGTGTGGTCACCTTTGTGTACCGCGACGGAATCGTGACGAAGTACTTATTCATAGCCAGACAAAATCGTTTGCGGTAGTGCTTCGGATTGAGCACAGTGATTTCGCCTTCTTCCTGAATCAGCCGTTTGCCGGCATGCTCCATCATCTTCATAAAGTCATACTTGTGGATGTAGTCGATAATGCACGCTACCAGCTCCTGCTTCTTCACATCGTAACCCACCAGCATCGAATAGTCTGTCGCTTGGACTGATGCCAAAAAGGTCGTATCGTTCATAATCGCAGACAGAAGCAACGACAACGCAGATTCCTGTAGAGGTAACGGTATGCCACCAGCCAGCTCCACAAAATTGCGATCCCATAGAACGGATCGACTGTCTCCACTTTTTCCCTCTTTGTAGCGTCCTTCCATCTTACCTTTTAGATCAAATGAGAAGTCAACTTCGCGCCCGTACATCAGATTCTCCATCACGATTATGCACATGCGTACGTTTTGATCACTATCTCCACTTTGGGTTGTGTTCAGAATTGACACCTTGTATATGCCCAGTACTTTGGACAGCATCGATGACAGATCGTTCTCAAAAGTCTTCGCCATGTAGCAGAAGTATTCGTTTGCCATGCTCAAAAACATCTGCAGCTCAATTTCTGGAATGGCCTTGGCGATAAACCGCTCGTCGCGCGTCTTCAGAAAGCCGGCGCCAGACTTGCCGCCTGCTGCATTCCATTGCTGGCAGTTGCACAGAGATTCCACATAGTTTCGGTCGCCTCCGTAGTATAGCTTCCGGAGTGCGTGGAATTGCATGGCGTAGTACGATTTGCAGCAGAAGCGTACACCTGACTGGAACTGGTTCTCGTCAACAAAAGTGTGGTCGACATTGTTTCGGGTAATTGAGCGCAAAGTGCGCAACATTCTCCTGATCTCCTCGGACTGGCTGCAGTCCACCATTGGCGATACGCCGTTCTCATAGGCGTTCGTCTCCATCGTCCGTCGAGCGGCTTCTTTCCGCATGTTTTCGTTTATGCACTGACTGTATTCTTTCGAGAAGAGCGAGTACGCCACCACCGATGTCGGCTGCTTCGCGTTGACTAAGACAGGGGCCTTGCTTACCCCCATTGGAAGGCTAGGGTGCCACTCGAGCAGGCGTTTCGGCAACGCTAAATATCCCAAACCGTCAGGCTTTTTTGCTTGCTGCGTCAGACGGAAATCATCGAGCGCTTTCCTCGATGCGAGCGTCCCCATGGTGGAGGAAACGTGCCCAGGGGTACCCATGGTGGACACTGCTTTTCCGAAGACCGGGGCACCGGATGAGTATGGCTCCGTTTCTGCCATGAAATCTACCGGAAACGAATGACTAGATTCGTCATAACGATCATAGCCTTCGTCTGTATCCCACGGCTCCGATTGGTAAGAGGTTGTAGTTCCGTTCTTGCGCAACGTGTTTGTAACCTCATTGACGACCTGCGGCATTCCTCCAGCTGGCGAAGCATTGTTGGCAGCGGCCAAGCTACGCGCAAAACTCGCAAGGTGTGCCAAGTTTCCAGGCTCCTGAAATTTTATACTCCCTGATGTTGTCCCCAAAACACTTGGAGTCGATGGGGCGCTGCAGCGATCGCTGAACTCTACTTGCTGCGAAAGCTGATCGAACCATGCCTTTGGCAGTGCGCTTTTCGGACTATCGATGTGATGCACCATTGTTGGTTTTACCGTAGCTTGAACGGCACGTGTAATGCGCAAACTCCAGCCAACTGCGTACTCATAGATGTCCCGAAAGTGAGCGTTGTATGCAAACACATCTTGCGGCGGACTTGATTCGATTTTGGCGGCAAAGCACGAATACCATTGCTGCACTTCGTTACGCAAGATTCTCAAGTTCTGCTTCGCGTGAAGCGGAGTGACCAGATCTGCCATCGACTCCGCTACTTTCGATGTTGTGACGCTGTAAACTTCACAAACGAGGTCACAGAGATCATGTATGGCATCAAGTTGAACCTGGTGGTCAATGCGGTCCTGCCAGAGCGCCGGCTGCAACGCGACGTGGAGGATGGGTTCGAGAGGCTCGACATGTAGACTTACGACTCGTCCGCGGCGAGAGAAATAGTGCACCAACGAGCTATCTCGCGATCCGCTCAAACCGGCTAAATGGGGAAAACGGACACAGTCAATGTCCATAGCCTTTCCATAGAACATGTCCTCCAAAAGTTTGCCAAACGAGTAATTCCACGTATCTTTTGAAATCACCGAGTACTCAGAAGCCAGGAGAGCGGAAAAGTTCCCGTCGCTCATATCGCGGGACCACATCAGCACTTCGTCCGATCGAATCAGCTGCATCACGGAACGGTAGCTGGCATTTCGAACGAGCTCTGCTTGGAAAAGCTGATCGCTGGTGTCTTTGGTCTCATTCAGGTCTTTCACCCGTATGATGGCGCGACTGGTGTCATGCGAGAAAGACAGCTTTGACGTTGCAAACGCACGCTTAAACTCAGCCTTGCTGTTTGCAAAACAGAAGTTGTCCAGAAACTGGCCAACGGACATATCATTCAAGCTATAAAAATCGATGCACATCATTTCCGCTTTCGATGCCGTTTTTCCTTCCAACGAACTCCAGCAGGTGGAAAATAGAATACGGTCCCTCAGTGAGCCCGACGATTTCGCTCCACATGTGCATCGATTGGGATCCCTCGCCTGCACGATTGCCGAAGAGCTAGTGTCATCACTCGCCCCTTCAACTACCCGAAGCGAACTGATGTTGTTAAATCGTGTGTGGGCCTTGCACCATTTGCACATGGCTTGCGTTTCCTTCAAAGCAGCACGCATCGACAGTGAATTGGACTTGAGCGAAATGTACAACGATGTTGAAGACTTGGCAAACCATTCCTCCGCGACAGAACGTTCGTGGTTCTGGCTAGGGGCAATGTATCCATAAGATGCCAACGCAGATCGCTGCAGTCGCATGTTGTACGCCGCCCGAATGATTGCAGTAAGCACATTTGTGACGTCTGTAAACACACCAGGTGTTCCTCCGCGTAAGCACAAAGTGCACCCCTTCGACGTGATACCTCCTTCAAACACAATATTCTGGCGTTGAATACGCTTTCTCCGCTGTCGAGGTACGCCAAACCCTTCTCTTGCCTCGTACAACCCATTACCGTTGGCCTTCAGCGCAATCTGCTTTGCACTCTTTGGCTCTTGATCGCTTAACAAGACGTAGAAGCGCTTGCAAGTACCGATTACGCCAATACCGGACATTTTGTCAATGTGATCATATGATGTCAGCACCGAAGCTCCGGTGCAGCGAGCAATTCGTTGCAAGTCGAGCGAGCGAACGTTTTTGACAACCGCCACGTTGCCTTTGAAAAGCAATTCCTCAGCTACACGGTGCACGTGACCCTCGAACATGACAATGTCGGGGTTGAGAGTCATTATCTTTTCTGTGACGATGTGCATGTATTCCACTTCTTGGCCAGCAACACTCTCGAGCGACGATATCACATCTTTCTTGCGTTGGTAGTCCAGCTCTGAGGCGATCAAGAGAATGCGCGGGTTCAAAATGTCGCTTCTCATTCCCTTCCGGGCCAGACTTTTGTGCACAAGAACACCATCAATGAAAAAACTGTCTTGCACGCGGCCTCCATCCAAACATTGAACTCGGACATACTGCATGATATCCAGCGAATCGCCTTTGTCAGGTTCGCAAGAGACAGTGAGCGCAGCTCGGTGGGCAAACAGGTTGATAATTTGCATCCACCGATGCTGTTCGACCATGAACAGCTTCGACACTGCCGGGGAACTGTCGAGCAAGTGGAATATGCGCTCTTCAACGCGATCACGAGCATCTTTTGACATACTTTCCACTGCTGCTTCTCTTCTGACGACATGCTCGGGATCGTCCAGTTCGTTGCGAGCATTTTTGGACAAGCCAACCATCGCCAGGATGCCAGCGTCGCTCGCAACAAGTTTGTCGGGGCCAAAAGTATTCCACTGGACAGCATGTCCAAAACGGGCAGTGTCAAATGACACTGACGAAGCCTTAGGCCGCGTCGTCAAAGTGGTTGACCTGGGAAACGCCCCGAGCAGTCGTGCTTGCGCATTGGATTCTGCAACAAGGCGCTTGAACTCCGCCTCGCTCCAGCGGTGGTTGCTCGGGTTACCGAATTCTGCCTGACTGTTCGAGCGCTTCAGATTTTGGGACGCGTGCTGCGCACCCTTCATTCCAAACAAGATTTGTGACTCGCTAAATGACCTGAGTCTACGTGCAGTTCCTCGATCAGTTTGTTTTGCTTCTTTGGTCAATTCCTGCAGGTGCGGTTGGTGGACCAGATGCTGCGCGCTTGCAACGATTTGTACCCTCGGAAACATACCAAACAGCACCGGAGGTCGGGACTTCTCAGGCTGCTCACTCACTCGCATTTCATCACTAATCTCGTCCTTACCAAACAGTTCCGACTTGTCCAGCTGCTTGTATTTCGACACGTCGGATATCGAGCGTTCCATAGCTTCTGCAATATGCTGAGGCATGAGCAACAGCGTCTGCGTCGGTGACGAATGCATCGGTTTCTGTGCGTCATCTTCGAAACTAGCCCCAGTCAGCTCCACCTGCAGTCCTTCGCGCAGTTGACGGTGGCACGTATGACACACCAACTGTTTCCTCAAACGCTCGAGCGACTCGTCTACTTTATTCTCGCTAAAAGACTGGGGCAGCCGGGCACAGCAATTTGCACAGAAAATCTGTCCACACGAGCGGCAATGATGTCGTCGTCGAAAGAACGTAAACAGCCGCTCGCACTCGTAGCACGCTTTGCTCGATCGATCCGACATCCAAAAGTGTTTAAACGACCTCGATCGTTCTCGGCCATGCAGCAACAGCGCCGGGGGACTCGGCGCTGCCTGTGTCTGCATGAGCAGATCCTGCGCTGCTGTTGTGTCTCGGTAGCCGTCTTGGAACTGCTTGATACCGGGCAACTGCTGGCCCTGGGGCGACGGAAACCGCGTGAGTGCAAACGGATTGCGGTCCACGTTCATCTCGTGCTCCCGCTGAGCCAAGTCGATTTCAATCCACCCCCGGCCATCAGCCTCTCCTGGAGTCAGTCCATCGTCCCTCTTGTATTGCTGCGACTCGCTCGACGTCATCAGTGCGCGTCGGATCGCCAGCAGCACGCGCGGGAGACTCATGTTGCGCATCGAGAGGCCATTGATCGCCACGACCAGCGACGCCGGACGGATCCCCTGCGCTTCGGCGTCGCTGCCCGGCAGCACAAAGTTCACACAGACGCGAAAGTCCCGACGCGACGACGCCACGAGCTGCACGCCCAGCAGCGCGTCCAGTGCGCTGCTGGACGGCGGACGGTCAGTGGCTCGTGACTTGGCCACACGCAGCGTCGCGATGCTCTCGACCGAGCGCGTGAACTGGTCGAGCGACGTGTAGCCGACGCGACTGTTGCGCGCGACGCACGTCGAAGGCGCAAAAAGCGTCAGCGGCGCGTGTGGCCTCGCGAGGAGCGACGACGACGACGACAGCGACAGAGAGGCAGACGGTACGCGCGGGAGCGGGGGCGGCGGCGACTCGGGAGACGTGAGGCACACGCGCGTGAGCTGTCGGAAGGCGCCACAGACGGACGCCATAGCACCGCCGCGGTGGCGACGTGGGAGTAAATGGAAGTGACCATCACTCCTGACGCGAGTGGGAGTGGCGGTGTCGATTGGCGTGTAGGTTATGTATCAGGCCGTTCGTTACAAAAGACGCGCGGGGTGGGGGATCGTACTTTGAGTGGGACACGCGGTGACGACAGGGCGCAAAGAGGGAGCGACGATGGAGTTTGACTGTTGCTAGAGTGGCGGGCTCGACAGAGTGATGGTAGAACAGAGAGACAGGGACGAAAAAGGTCGAGTGGGTCATTGAACGGATAGAGAAATTAGTCGTTTATCAAGCAGATGGAAAAGTCCCCGACTTTGATGGGGTAATTTGAGGCGAAACGAAGGGGCTGCTGCTTCGACACTAGGGCTACTAACGTAGTCCTATTGCTGATGTCCCATGCCGACTATTCCAAAAGGTGCTGACGAGCTGTACGTCGACGTGTTCTGACCACGTCGACGGTAAACACTGCTTTTCCAGATACGTTCCCGATCGTGGAGGCCGCTAAGGCTGCAAGATGATTCTCCCATCAGGCCATTCTACGATCCGTACGCCAGCGTCCATCATGTCCAGATGGGAGTGGTCAGTGGCACTGTCGTCGCTCACGTCCGGGACTGTCCAAGCAGCGTGTACGTTTGTTCGTGAGTTGACCTCGGGTAGTAGAGGTCTTTGTCTCCGACGTCGTGTCGTACACGTTGCGGTTGACGTCGGCAGCCGCTTTTTTGGCCTGACACGCCACAGCGAGACGGTCGACGAGCTGACGAAACACGCGCTAAATTGTGTCGGCGTCGCGTTGCTGGATACGCTGTTGATGTTGCTGAAGCAATCGGCCGCCCCAAGGTCTGTAGGCCTGCATGCACACGTGAGTGCTGCAGCTGCTGTCGAAATGTTACATGCAGGAGATACTCGAGATGTATGTGGACGCATGAATAGAACGATGAAACAGAGGTTTTGTGGCTACCTGATCTTTCCTAGCAATTGTACTGAGCGACACTAGGTCGTACTGGACGACAGGTCCTGAACGATGACGATGCTGACGGCAGTTTCGTTACTGCGATACCCCAGGCACTCCTTGCTCACATCCCCCGACCATACCTCATTATCTAGTGCACCACAGACAATGCCTTGCGTGATGCTCAATCTAGTGCTACTTCTGTCTGCTACAGCAGGGTTGAGACTGCACATCTCTCACACGAATAAGGACGCGAACATGCAGTGACTGTGAGCATCATAAACCGTTCTCTAACATGGTTTTTGTGAGGCGACTAAACCTCGTTCAGAGTAGCTGATTGAAATAGATCATTTGCTCAACGAGATATCTACAAGCAGTGAAAAGGAATACTGTTAATCGTGCAGGCCACCGAATCAGCGGAACGACTGGCTATCGACGCTCGTCGACGTTTTACCCATCGGAGGCGTAATTAAGCTTGGTAAAAACGCTGAGCTGAAGTGCAAGGATGCGACCGATCGTCTGCTGCCGTGTCACTCGAGTACGCCCTCGAAAGAATGAACGTCTGGACAATGACGCGCATAGTATAGGCACTATCGATGCGCCCTGTATTGCTCCTTGTTGCGGCAATGAAGCGGATCGTGTAATGTGTGCGTAGCGTGCAGTCTTCGACCTAGAGACGGGCACAGCGGCTCCATTCCTGTACGTAGTGTGGCATGATCCATTTGCCTATCAGACACTCGAAGGCACTCGAGTTCAGTGGCAATCGTGTAGCTCGAGAAGGTGCTTCTGCTTTACGATCGTCGCGCAAGTTATAAGTACGTGGACACTGTCCTACCAGCAAGCACGCCGTCAATGTGTGTATGAGCACGCCTAGATCGAAGAAGCGTCATCTCGAGTATCGTTGCAGAAAGCGGCTAGAGTAACGTGCTACTACATTGCGCGCTGATACGAGTGCTGCACGGGCACGCGACTGTTTCTGCTGCACAGAGCTATCAGTGATGCTAGAAGTTGTTTTAACGCTCATGCCGGCGTTTTGCCGAAGCTAGTCAGCGGTTCTTCCCCCTCGACCACTCTATTCTGCACGTGTCTGTCAAATCAGACAGAAGGTCACGTGCGGAACGTGCATTCGAAGGCAGTGCTCGCAAAAGGCGGCACTAGATAGTACCTCGTCGGTTCGGCCATCTTCTTCAGTCCGCCACGTTTATCAGTGGGTGTGACCGCAAGCTGCTTGCAACGTTTCGAGCGGCCTCACGTTTTTTGCGGATGTCTACGAATGAACAGAAGGAAGTAGCAGCGATAAAACTTCGATCGAAGACGACAGAGACAGCCCGTGGCTGACAAAGACTCGATGCACAGTAGTGTCGTAGTCTGTTCTGCTATCCTCCAGCCATACAGCATCAGCCCCCTCGCTTACAACAGACCCCTACACGGCCACTTCTACGCAGGGCGAAGATCTACGACGACGCCCACTGATGTAGACGTTCGCGTGAACAGCACATTGTCATAGAGCTCGACAAGCCGCAGCTCGTTGGCAGCGCACGCTCCTTCGGCAACAAAAGCGCAGCCATGTCAATGCTGTGAAAGCTCTGACGACAATTCAACGTCGCGCCTGGGCCAGCGGTGTTATAGATCGACTTTGCAATGGACTGGAGATGCTCGATCATGGCGACGTCCTGAGCGCTTGCTGTTAGGGCCTTACAAGGATAAATGTCTCACGAGCGCGTTGAGAGTGCGCATAGCAGACAAGCGCTTGGGGCAGCGCATCGACAAGTATAGTGCTACAGAGCTGACCAACGAACGCCGTATACCCCAAGACATGGCGCGATGGAGGCGACAATGCTACCGAAGGTCTCAGCAGCGGTTAGAATTATATAACGGAGAGTGGTGGGCGACACTGTGTCAACGTCTCACAGGAGTTTCCTCGCAACAGCGCCAGCCGCTGAAGGGTACACTTGCTGTATACACCGAAAGGGGTTTGCAGTATACATGTCATTTCTAAACGCGCGCTTGCTTAGATACGACTCGTACTTAACACTCGGCTGCCCAGCTTTCGCCTACTTGACGCACGAATCTACGAACCCGACCGACCGATCGGCTGACCGACCACTTCCACCCGCGATGATGGCCCCGACCGCGACGCAGTCGCTCCAGGAAAAGCAACGAGGTGCGTCCTTACTGCAGCTACAGCGCTTGCCGTCTACTCTCCCTTCTTGTGCATTCGCTCGTCCTGACCTGCCCCTCTCCTTGTCTAGAAAACCTGCTGCGCATGTTGGATTTCAACTCAGAGAGCGCTGGCGGCTTTGCGGATACCGCGTTAGACTCTGCGTACGTACGATGTGGTGCACTATGATCTGTGCTGACGTTCTGCGCGCTCACTCCTCGTATGTGGATCGCTGCAGTGATCGCTGGGGCGACCAGTGGAAGGTCCTGATCTACGACAAGTTCTGTCGCGACATCATCTCACCCGTTCTCAAGCTGCATGAGCTCCGCAAAAAGGGTGTGACGCTGCACATGTTGCTGGACACGGAGCGCGACGCGATTCCTGATGTCCCTGTTATCTACTTTGTCGAGCCTACGCTCGAGAACTTGAAACGGATTGTTGCGGACTGTTCCAAGGAATTGTACAGCGCAGCCCACTTGAACTTTGCCCACCCTTTGACTCGCGAATCGATGGAGTATCTAGCGCGCGCTTCAGTCGAAGCGGGATGCACGAGCATGGTATATATGTGCTGGACCTGTGAGGAGGGGGAGAAGAGGTGGTGTATCGGGTCTTTGTTTTCTGCTGTACTTACACGAACGTTTGGTCTGTGAATGTCAGATTGCCAAGGTGTATGACCAGTACACGAACTTCGTGTCACTGGAACCGAGTCTCTTCTCCTTGAACCTCGCCAACAGCTACCGAGCGTACAACGACCCAAGTGTGGCAGATGTGCAGATCGAGGAGACGATGAGCGCCGTTGTCAAAGGGCTCTTTTCCGTCCTCGCCACCGCCGGAAGAGTACCAGTCATTCGTTGTCGAGATAATGATGGACCGTCGAGGCTAGTGGCAGAGCAACTTAGCGCTACTATTCGCGAGCACTTGGTATACATGGAGCTGTTGCCCTACAATGTAGTCCATGTTTACTTACGATTGTTGCTGCAATGCATGAGTACAGAATGCGCGGAATGGCGTGTTTACTGAAAACACATCCAGCTTTCAGGTATGAAGCCGCCATCTATGACGAAGCTGATCCATCAGTTGACACTTATCTCATATTGTGTATCGTTCATTTGTTCAGCGCCCGTTGCTGATCATTATGGATCGTAATGAGGATATCGCTTCTAGCTTGTACCATCCGTCAACGTATCAGGCGCTAGTCGATGACGTTTTGTCCATCCAGTTGAACCGCGTAAAGGTGTCTGTGAAGACTTCTGGTGGGAAAGACGGTGGCGATGACAGCTTGTTGGTAGAGCGCACGTACGACTTGGACGTGACGAGTGACAGGTTTTTCGAAACACATGCTGGCAGTCTGTTTCCTGACGCGATTGACGCTAATGAAGAGGAAATGAAGCAAGTCACGCGTAAGGAAGAGCAGATTCGAGCTCAAACAGGGGGAGGCGATGCGCTGATGAATGGCACAAAAGATCTCGTGGCTGCCGTTGACACTCTACCGGCGCTCATGGAAAAGAAAAAGGTGCTGGAAGCTCATACAAACATCTTTCACGCCGCGTTCGAGGGCGTGACGAAGCGCCACATTCCGTCTTACTCCATGCTGGAGCAAAGGCTTATCGATGGCTCGCATGTTGACAAGACTGAGATACTGCAACTACTATCGAGCACGGAGATGGGCACCTTGGCAGACAAAATGCGGCTGTTGATGATCTACTTCTTGGCGAGTGGTGTTAGTGGTGCAGAAATGGCCGATTATGAAAACGCTTACCAACAGTGTGCTGCAGCATCAGAACAGCCGGAGGCATACATGCAGGCATGGAAGTTTCTCCGCAAGCACTCGGCGTTTCAGCGATGTGCCAGTGACGGAGCTGGTATGCCGTCTGAGAGTGGCACTGGACCTGATCGTGGCGTCAATATAAGCAAGTTCAAAGGTCTTGCTCAGGGATTTCTCGCTCAAGCCGCTGCGAGCTTCAAGAACTTCTTGCCCGAAAACAAAATGCTGCACGTCGCGCGAGTGACAGACGCCATATGTGAGATGAAGCCCAACACGGAGGACGAGAGCTTCTTGTATCTGGACCCCAAGGTGAGTGAGGACGTGGGCGCGATGAGAGGTGGTGATACAAACTTGGGTCCTGACGTCGTTTTTGTGTACAGATCAAGGCCAATGGCGACGTACCTCGACAGCGCTCTCCGTTCCGTGAAGTGATGGTATTTATGATTGGCGGCGGCAACTACAACGAATATCATAATCTAGTGGCGTCCACAAAGCGATCGCAGTCGCCGCGATCGATCTGGTACGGCTGCACGGAGCTGATGAACCCAGAGGCATTCTTGCACCAGCTCGACGCCATTGGCACATAGCTGTGAACTAGACACAGCAACATGGCTCTTGTCTGCGATGCAGTCCATGAGCTTACAATGACAAATTTGATCTGCGGTATCGGTGCATGCCGCGGGTTTCGATCATTGATAATGTGATGCCCAACGCTGCAAATGCTTCTCGTGTAGACAGGAACACCTACAATGCTATTAAGCGCACCAGGGTCTGTAGCCAACTCACTAAGCATAGCAAAACAACGCGAAAAAAAGCACTCGAGACCTTGGATGATGTGTATATGGCCAATGACTACTTGTTTGAGTTACTGTGCTGCTAAATAATAAATTCACGCGCCTGTGGTGTATATAATGGTCTGACCAACTGCGTTGGGCCCCATACAGACCAACGACGACGCCGGTCGATGACACTGAACCTGTGCAGTCGTGCCCTGGCCCTGGATTCGAGTCCAGCCCGCTCTTCAGACCCGTTTGCTGCTGCTCCCGCTACTGCTGCTCCCGCATGAACTGCTCGCGCTCTTGCTGCACCTGTGCCTGCAAATGCCGCTGCTGGTCGCCGAGGTCCATGTCCATTTCGTTCTCCTCAAACAGCCGCTGCTGCTGCTCCACCGCGTGCTGCCTCCGCTCCTGTGCTCGCTGCTGGGCAAACTGTCCCACGAGTTGCGTGAGCTGGTGGATCTCGGCAGCTGCGCCGTTCACTTGCACTTGCATGGCGTCGACCATGCCCTGCAGCTCGTGCACCTGCTTCCGCGAGGCTTTTTTCGAGTGCGGCGGCGGTGCACGGGGCGACGCCGTGTCGACGGCGTCACAGCTGCTGCTATCGGGTGGGGCTGCAGCACACTGGGCTGGGTCAGCAAAGAGCAGGACGTCGGCCGCGCTGAACGTGAGCTCGAGGGCACTGAGGTTGTCGTCGTCGAGGCGGTCGAAGCGGTTGTCGTCGTCGAGGCGGTCGAAGCGGTCGTCGTCGGTAAAGTCGAGGCGAGGCGGTGGACAGTCAAGACCCGTGGGCAGGCTGAACGCCGCGCGCTTCGAGTCGTAGACAGTGGTCGTGCTGCCGTGGTTCATGATGCGATTGACGACGTGCGGGTGTGTGGGGCAGGTGGAAGATTGGGTTATGACCGATAGCTGGGCCGTAAGTGTGAGTGCGTGTCGCGCGTGGTGGGGCGCTGGGCCGGCAGTGGCTCCTTTTGATTGGGCGCGCGAGAGTGGCACTCGGGGAGCGCGCACCCGAGACGTGTTGGTGTCCGGATCAAACAAACACCAGCCGGTAGGGAGGTAGGAGCAGGTGGTTCAGTCTCCTGGCGGCCGACCCCGAAAAATCAGCCCCGCTGCCCGTCCGTCCCTCGTTCGGGGAAGGTTGATCGATGCCCGCGGTCAGCTGGCAGGGCGGTCGGTCGGTTTCACGCCTCTCAACGGACTTGCCTGTACTATGGCAGCAAGACGTCTGTGCGCCGGTCGGTGCACGCGCGAGGAGCCAGCCCCGAGCATGGCCTGTCTGGGCACGGCGTTACAGAACGAAGCCGTTGCATGCGACGATCGGTCGTTTTGGTCGGCCGGGACTCTAACCGATACTGTATGGCTGTCTCGCCCGCCCGTCCCGACCGCACGTCTCTCGTCGCCGCGTTCTGTTACAGACCCTAAGCGCAGTGACCCGCGCGGCAAAAGAGACTCACTGGTGGAAAGAGTTAGGGACGATGTACTTCGTAACGCCTCAAGCGCCGCCGACGGAGCCGACTTGGCTGCGGCGATCCTACATGTGACGGACGGACGACCGCGGCGCTGTGACACCTGGAAGAGCAAAAGTGTCTCCCTCGAGACAGCAGAGACGCCCAGATTTTGTTTGGGATAAGACTTTTCTTGTATGGGCAGTGAGTGAGTGCACTCACACTGCGCTGCGAGAGCTCAATGACCGCGTGTGGTCACTGAGCTCTCTAAACGCTCAAAGAACGCCGGAACGGTACGGCGCATCACCGTACGTTGGCATTGGCATCTTACAGCAAAGAAGGAGGAAGAACGACGTAGAGCTCGATGGACGACAGGAGTATGTAGTGCAATGCTTGCTACCGACATTCGATGTCGAACGAAGCGTACGTGAGAAGTGACATGTTATCGGCGCGCAGGACAAGAAGGAGGAACATGGCCCATGTCGCTTCCGTAACGCCGCTATGTTATTACATATTAAAGACGTGTGAGCGAGACACGTCGATACCGGTGGTCGACAACGCTCTGTTTGACATGAATACAAAGCCACGGAAACCAACAGCAAAAGAACGCATATAGCCATTCTGTAGCAAGAGCGAGTATATGGCGCAATGTGTGTGTGTCTGTGGCACCCTTTGTGGATTGAGAATGCCAACGCGAGTCGTCAAGGACGACGCTCGCGCTTGCCCAGCGCCAGCCAGCGCTCGCTCTGCTCCTTTCCAGTGAATCACACGGCCACAGTTGCACGCGATCTTGAGATCCGCACGAAGCGATTTGTTCACCACGTTCGAGTCACGCAAGCGATGCCCACTCCCCCCCCCCGCCAAAGTCTGGCGTAAGGAGTGGACGGACAATCCAGTATAGCCGTCTACGTGCTTGACACGAAGCAGGATCGCGCGTCCGCGGCCTGTGAGGTGTCTCCGTGCACAGGCTGCACGCAGAAAGCGTCGAGGTGTCTATTGGAAGCGTGGAAACGATCGTCTGTCGGTGCCAGACTAGTACAATGCTGACGAGTAGACCTCCTTTCGCTGCGCTGCCACGTCGACCGTTTTGCATGTGAAGTCGTTGGTCGCGATATCATTTGACACGATATTTATAAGACTCTTCGCCCTTGTGAACGCACGTTCTCTCGAACGCCACAGCTGTAGGACTCGCCTCGACTTTACTGCTCTCGCGGCCGTTGCGTGCTCACGTTTAGCAATCTCCGCACAACTCCTGGAGCGCAGCGCACAGCTTTTCAATATACTGCACAGCGCTCACTTTCAATTGACGGCAATTGTAGCGGTTGGCTGCTGAAGATGCTGGAAGAAACAACAGGGACTCAATGAGCAATCGGTCTCCGAGAGACTCGAATCACGTACGCCTGATGTTTTATTCGACATGCGGCATGCTGAATGGCTCTCTCTAGCACCACGATTGTATCCTGGTAGTGTGAGCAAACCCCAGGAGCCGAACGTGTGGAGCCTCGTGCAGAGTCGTTGCCGCAACTCGTTACTGAGTGTGGCGCTGCTCGAATGCCATTACAAGAGCTTTCCATTCGCCTACCGTAAAGATCATCAAACCTCGAGTGTCGTCTCCGTCCACGAATGTTGTATGGGTATGTCGTGTACTTACCTCCCTCGATGGGCAAACCTCACCGAAGCGTTTCGACATCGAAATAGCATCAGGAGTAGTATGGTCTCTGCACTCGATGCTGGTCTTTCTTTCTGCGCTTAGGCATCATGGCCTGCAAGTCCAAGGGGCATAGCACCGTCGATTGCAATGACTTCGTCAAAGATCGACGGCACGGTACCTCTTGGAACAGGTCTACTACTGAACAGCATTGTATACATTCGATCCATCGCGACGCAAAGCACTGTGCAATGATACCAAACTGTCTTGTCTTGCTCAGTGCCATTCCATACTGTCGACGTCACTTTGTATCTCGCGCCACTTTGTACGTCTAATGTGATGACGTGTCCCAGCTAGCATCGCTTAGTCTAGGTAGATTGGGGCTCACCAAGCACTGGACCCAATGTCGGACGAAGAATCAACAGCGTTGCGCCCTGCATGTCGGACTATAAGTCACCAGAAGCACAGACTCGCCCACTCTTTCTCCACCAGCTTTTGTTGTCGATTTACACGCACATTTCTTAATGTCAAGCTGTAGAATGCTACTCGGTCCGTTCTAGCTATGCCAGACCTCAAGCATCATCCGCTGTTTGTTCACGAGCTCGGAAATCATCTCAGCGTGGCAACAAAAGCCTGTGTTGACCTTTCGCAGCTACTGAAGGTGGCACAAGGCAACAACGAAACGAAAAAGCTGTCAAGCTGCATACGAAAGCCTGTAGCTACTGGTCTATCAGCCGTTATTCTAGCCTGGCTATCGATCGTCCGCCCCCACCTGACAGGATAGTTCATATCATTTGAATCACGATCCGAACTGGTTCAAGCCAGTCGTCGGTTAGCAACGGCATCAGTATAACGACAACAGGGTGGAACGATGGGTAGTGAAAACGGTGACTAAGGAAGCGTATCAGCATCGGAATGGCGGAGGAATGTGCGCAAGCTGCAGCACACACGTTTCGATCAGCACCGTCTGTAATCGCTGTCGAAACGAAAGCGTTGAGAAATTGACCAAATGTGCGTGTTGTCCGCCAATGGAAGGAGCACCAGGATGGTGGCTTCAGCAAAAGCTCTGCGGTCGAGACCCTATCAAGCAAATGATACGACAACTTCTGGACGCTTTTCCCCTTGCTGCTCGCGTGTGGTTTTGTGTACTAGCAGAGATGACGTGGTGAGGGGTAGCGATGGTGCAATGATGCACGATATGACGTGGTCTTTTGCATGCTTTTGGACGCGAAACCGGCCGTCACTTCATAAGTAGGTAGACCTGAGACCAACAGGCACCAAATGACGCAATGAAGTGACTGTAACGTTGTCGCTAACTGCAATATGTTAGTGACTGTAACGTTTTTATCATGCTTTCTGGCAGTAGCAGGCGGCTCACATGTATTGAGCGAGTGTCCTACAAGCTGTAGATGGTCACGACCGAAACGATGGTCCTGCTAGTCGGATGCGCTTTATGAGCGCTGGAGGCTCTTTCGCCAAGCCAGGGGCATACCATACTACTACTTTGTAGAGGAGCTATGTACATTTAGAGATATAGTTTGCAATGACGACGTCAGACGGAATGCGTGATTGCAAGAAGACGTGTGGCAGCACCTCAGCCTTCGCATAGTACAGCCTCAACGTGAATCTCATGACGCAGTAATGTACGAACCTCAAGACAGCATTTATTGAGAATCTACCAATGCTGCGGGCATCCACGGGCAGAACGACGAAATGCAATTTCATCTGCAAAACTTGCTGCCCTGCAGAAAAATACGAAGACTGGATTGCATTTTCTTTCTGTGCCCACTTCTCTGTTTCCATTTAACTGTGAAGACTCTGACGGCGTCAGCTTGTTACATGTTGTTGACACCGAATGGTTGATGTATGTGTAATCTAATTGATCATAATCCCAATATTTACCTTGCTACATACATGTTGAGGAAATATCACCTCCGAAAGTTATTTCGGTACCACCTGACTGATTAGTAGAAATGGGCCATAATGTCCACTAACAAAACCACCATCCGCTGCTAGACTCGCGCGATGGGTGGCGAGCGAGTAGCTATACTACACATTTGAAGTTTACCATGGTTAAAGTCAGACTTAAATGATTTAATTAAAAGAATGAATTGTGTCAAGCGCATTTCTACTTTTTTTCCTGTCAAATGCGTTCCATTGATAGGCTTACCCTCACGTATGGGCGTGCCGTGTACGTGGAGTCTCGGGTCGCCTGTGTATAATTTGATTAAGTTTATGTAGATTGTATCGTATCAGTGCAAGAGGGGGGGTCCCATTTCACCCTTGTAGCACTTCTTGGTCCGTCAAACGAACACGAAAATGCTATTTCATATAAACATGTCGGATGGTGAATATGATATTCTTTCCTCACGACTAAAGGCGAATATCATTTTAATGACACCAGATGATCTGCTGGCGAGAGAACGAGCTTGAGCGCAGATCGTAACGGTCATGCTGAACGCCTTCATGGGAACGAGCGGCATTCCGCAGTCGAGCATGATCTTGACGCGAAAGAAGAGGAACGAACCTTGCCTTATACATCAAGATCCAAAACGTTCAAAGCTGTTAAGATAAATATGTGGTAAGCAGTCAAAATGCTGAGAAAAAATCGTCAAATGCGGGGTTTTGCGAATGGCGCTTACTCGTCAACCCGAAAGCTCGAAGATGTTTTTCCGAGTGCGACTCAGAAAAGTAAGATTTCTTTCTTCCATGTCTCATCAGACCCGTCGACGCCATCGAATCTCGTTGCGTTG